ACAAGCTTCCTCTTTCTGTGGCTGGAGATGGTGAGGGGAAGTTGATAAGGAAGTCCCATGACTTAGTGGGACCTCGGGTGGGGAAGGTATAAACAAAAACCACCAGGAGAGGTTCTGCAGGAGCCAGAAGAGGGCCTACAGCCTGACACTGTTGATCTGGTGAGTCCCCAGCTGCCACACAAGGGCTGAAGGACCTGTGCACCCTGCTGTTAGCACCCCCATGCTCCTGGCCAGGACGCTCCCCGACCTAAGTCCCTAGTGGGCCATGGGATCAGCTGGGAGTGCGGAGTTACTCACGAGGGTTTTTCACCCTCTTGCAACTGTAAGAAGTCCCACCAGCACACATGTCCAGGAGGACATAAGGGCAAGGGAAAGGAGAAAGGGGAGCGCCAATGCAAAGAAGTATCTCCACAGCGTGATTTGGAGGCAGACCAGCTGGATATTATAGCTCTGCTAAAATAGTGCATGGCAGAGAGTGGTAAGGAGATGCAAAGCCCAGGAAGGATCTCCACAGGGCTAGAGATGTGGGGGAACTACTCCTGTACAAGACTTACTAGAGATAGCAGGTGATAATCTGCTCCTTGCCTGCTAGAGCAGGCAGCAGGGGCCACCTTGGGTGGAGGGTGAGCAGAGCAGGGTCCACCCAAATCTGCAAACCATGGTCCCAGGTGTCCCTAGTCCTGGTGATGCCAACACCGTCTGGCGCACTGGATATAAAAGAAGAACCGGGGACTTGTTAGAAATGATATTCTAACCCATACTTCCAGCAGATGCTGCAGGGTGAATGCAGCATCTCAGCCTGCTCAGCCTCCCTGCTATCTCACTGGCTGCTGTTGGAGACAAGATGCTAGACTAAATGGATCTTTAGTACAGCTTTTCTTCAGTTCTTACAGTTGTATGCATAGATATGGGGTAAGTTCTTGCTCCTGTTTGCTTAAAGGCAATTTCTAAACTCTCAGGGCAATATTTTCCACAGAAGCTTCTTATCTTGGGTACCTCCACTTTGGGTCACATTTCAACTTCTACATGCGTATACCTAACCACAGCCTTGACAAACTGGGCTGGTACATCTCAAACTGCACATCCCAAGGTCCAGACGTTTTACAGAGTGGCCATTTGCGTACAGTTAATTTGCTGTTGTTTATTAAATTGGCAGCAGAAGCGAGTCTGTAGGGCAAAGCTCTGAACCGCATAGCGGCTCACAGTTGCAGTTTTACTTTTTCTACTCCTGGCTTGCCACTGACTTAACAGCAAAAGCAGATTCTGAATGAACACCTGCCGTGAAAGGGTAAGGAAGAGAACTTTGTTCTTAAACTTTTGTTGACTCCAGTTAATGAGTAATCTGCATACCTCTCAGCTGCAATCTGGAAACCATCAGTTACTTTTAATTGTTGATGTGGTGAGCATCAAGATCCTAGTATGACAGGAAAGGAAATGCAGTGACTGCAGCTCTGCTGGGCCTCTCAAAATACATGACTAAGTATTTGTTGCTGTGGGATCTTCTGTGACTGTTCATTCAACTGACAGTGCCTATGATCTGACATTACACATAATACGTTATTTATTACTATCATTTACAGAAATGTAAAACAAAAGCCTCCCTGCTTTTACCACTTGAACAGACACAGACAGTTTTTGTTGCTGCACAGGAGGTTAATAAAGTAAATTAATAAATAAATAGATAAGTAGAAAGTCTTCTGTGTTCCTGAAATAATAGACGTAAAGCGCATGGATGAACCTAATCCAAACAGAAACCTGAACACACTGGAGCAATGTATCTTTGACCATCATTTGCTAATACAGAAAAATCTGTGCCATGCTAGAAATGCTGTTTTGTCACCTCTGCCTTAACCTTTGGTGCTTCATTGTGGAGAGCTCTGCAGCCTGAAGAAATAAGTTTTTTTTGTTTGTTTTGTTTTGAAATGAGGGAATATGCAACACAGGCACTACTTAGAAAGAATACATTGTGCTTCCTGATGAACATCAGAGCTCGGGGCAAATATATGAAATAAGAAGGGATCTGAGATGTCTTTGGCAGCTACACATTGGAATGAAAAATAAGTGATGTGCTTACCTGAATATCTAAAGATGCCAGTACTGACTTGCTTCAATGGAAAAGGACATGATTCCATGAGCAGCATTCCCAAGACTCTGTCAACACTGGAAAAATATAGTCTTGACTTTTTAACCTTCTCCCATGAATCCATCCCACATCCTTGTGTTTCTAGCCTCATTTCCCACAGAGAATGAAACTTCTGTGATCATGCCATCCGGCTGTCTATCAGCCGGTATGTGCCGAACCTGCTTTCTTTCAATCTGAGAGAAGGATAGGGGCTGAAAGAGAATTAAGTGCCTGCGAGGTTCATGCAAATCAGCAGCTGGGTCGAAGACAGAGACCCAAATTAGTGGTCTTGCTAGGAGAGAGGGAGGCAGAACTTGGCCGCTCCGTAGGCTGCTTGTTAACGTCCGTCATCACATGTGCTGCTCTGGCCTCACCATAGCACATGGCGTCTCTTGCTTAGTGAGATAGAGGGCTTACGGTTGTTGTAGCGAGTGACATGGTGAGGGAAGGAGGGGAAGGGGAAATAGGACACATCCGTAGGAAAGCAGGTCGCTTCAGTTCCACAGAACAGTGTGTTTAGCAATAAACTTCCAGTCACTCGTGTCACCATGGAGCTCCTGTGATTTCTAAGGGCCCTGCAAAGATGCAGATCCATTTCTCACACTGAAGCAATCACAGCCTCCTCACTCCCATCCCCAACAGGAGTGGAAGGAAACTCAGAGCAGCTTCCAGGACTCTGGAGATAACAGACTTGCTCTTTGAAGCCATATAAAAAAGCACCAAGAGTTAGGATGGAAAGCACAGCTCTGTTCAAAGTTTCCCTAGAGAAAAATCCCAACCAGGGAAAGTTTAGAAGCAGAATGATTTCTCGTCCCCCAGCAGGGAGTTTCAGTTTCTGTTTTTCATGTCTTTCTTTCTTGCTTCACACATTTTGCTGTGGAGCCACAGCTGAGTTTGCAAATACTTCTGGAGGAAAAGGGCTGTTTTGCTTGAAGCTATGCCTGTCCTAGAGGGAAAAACCATGTGTTCAAAACATGTTAACTCCTATGCTTTAAGTAAGCAAGGAGGAATGTTTTTTAACAACACCTTGGCAAGTGTGTATGGCCTGTGAGTTTCCTAAATCAAGCTGAAGTCTGCCCCTTTATGCACACCTATTTTTCCACTTCCCTGTGGGCAGTCTGATGACATCAGACTTGAGCATGCTTCAGCCCCCTCTAGCCTATATCTGGCCAGCCCATCTGGGGAAAGATTACTGTGGTTTGGCCCACAGTTGGGGCAGTAGTTTACTGTGGGTTTGTCACTATGGGTTTCCTTACAACCCAAGGGGAGGCACAGGAGGGTTTTACCTCAGGATTGTTTATGAAGGGTAAATGTGTAGCTCTGCAGGACTCGTAGACGTGTGGATGAAAGCTGATTGCCCTTCTCAGAGGTAGGCTTGGTGTGTGACTGACACATGGGGGCAAGAGAGCTATCAGTTTAGTGAAGAACAGATGTGAAATATATTAACTGGAGCCCTCTTCTCTCCAAGATTTCCTTCAGCAAAATGCACTCACTTCAATCTTCTCTGCAAGGACTCTATTATCTCACACAGAACAAAGCAGCAAGAATTCAGTTTTTCTCTCTGTCTAGAGAGATCCACCGGGGTTTAGTACCTATCTTCTACCTACTGGTACCTATCTTCTAGGTAATGGATTGAGGTATTTGCAACAGGGAACAGGAAAAGATGTACAAAAAAATAAAGCTTAGAGCCTGTTATACTTACTACATCTATCGATGAAGATAGAAGCAAACAGCTTTAAAAATAGGTAGGCTCTTTCAACAGTGAGGCCCCTGGTGAAACTGTCGTCTGACTTCCCTGGCAGCACAGCCTGGAGTTTCCTAAAGCAATACCCACCGTTACCCAGAGCTTACTGGGCTCAGATGGACTTTCGTGTGCTGAGGACCTGACAAACTGACTTCTCCTCTCAAAAGATGATTTGGCTTCAGGGTGCCCAGCCTGATGTGTCTTCCAGGAACCTGACTCTCTACCCATCAAAACTCAAAAATCTCTTAAACGACCTCTGATCATCTTGATGTCAGTAGCCTAAAGATAACAGCCAGAACGGGTTTCCAAAAATAGCAATGTCAGCAGCTTTCATAGTTTCATGATTTGTGATCAACCTCAGACTTCCTCAAAAATTCTCCAGGGGGAAACAGCTCTTACAGACTGCAAGGAAAGGATTTTTTATTTTGTTTTTCAAACATCTAGAGGGGATGTCCAAACGGTACCTCTACTGGGAGCTGCCTTGATTTTTTTGCATAGGGAAATTTTCTAGCATATAATTTGGTAGAATTATGTCACTAGCTGCCCTTTCCTGTTCCGAAAATGACAAAATACACTGCGAAGAGGTGCTACTTCTAGATTATGAGTGTCTATATGGGGAGTTATGTGTGCAGCAATAGAAGTATAGTTCATGTTGTACAGCCATGCAGTAAATTCCTGCTTAGCCCTTAGAGCCAAGTCAGTGTCAGTGTGTCCTCCTGATGTTACTACCTGAAGGCTGAAATGTGGCTTCAGAAGTGCCACTGAATATGCTCAAGCTTTTTCTTCACAGACACTGTGTTATTAGAAACAGCAGGACAAAGGCTGAGAGGAGATTTCAAGAGGCTGACAAACCTTCTCCCCTGCCATTTTGTCAAACGAGAGATTATTTCAGCACCAGTTTTGATGCCCTTCATGCTGATCCACAGTGCCCTAATATCAGTTGTATTTCTGTTCAGATCAACACAGATGTGGGGGGAAAAAAAAGGAAGGGAGATACTACTACTGCAGATAGTTGGAAAAATGAAAGTGACGTATCAGATTTAATGGGAGGAGCACTGGCTTGTACACGTAGGGATTTTCCCTGTGATGTGGTGAACTTCAAAATCAGTCAGCCAGGGGATTTCCCAGTCTGCCTCCAGAAATATCACTGCAGAAGTAGTAGCTGTTTCACTCTGCTCTTACAGCCCTTCCCGCAAAGAGGCACGCTGCTGTCGCTCTGTGATTTAAACAAGCAGAAGCCATGTCTTTGATAGCCTCCGCTTGGCTCATCATCCTGTGCAATGGTGAGTGGGGAGCCTTGAATTTTTTGTTCTGATCTTTCACTTATTTTGCGGGAATATGTTTTGGGAAAACAGGAAGGAATGCCTCAGCAATCTCTTCTAAAGCCAATGTGTACCTGTGCTTTGCAGTCTGGTGCTTGATCCGTGGGGCTTCTGTGGCTGTTCCAGATATTGCTGTGAGATGTGCTGAAGAAGTGCTGCTGCCCTGTAAAGTTCATCAGGACTCTGCAGTCACCTACCAGACAGTGTCTTGGTATAAAGTAAGGAAAAGTTAGATTACTCGAGCAATCTGCTTTGCTTTCCCACCTGATGCTGGCATGTCTCGTACTAAACAGGTTGTTTTATGAAGAGGCATCCTCCTGTCATGAGGCAGAGACAAGGCAGCAACAGAAGTGTTTCGGCTGATCAGGGAGTGTAGGCATTTTCTATGTCATTGTAGACAGATTATCTGAGCATGATCCTTGATTTGGTCTTGGCTTGCTCTTCTGTTTAACTATTGCTAATCTCCAGGGATCAAAATTCAGAAGTATTGCCTGTACAGCCTGCCAAATACCACTCAAAGATTTCCAGACTTTCCAGGATTCTCCTTTAGAACAAAAACTGATATTTAAATCTTTAAACATAAGTGATGTCATTGCTTGGCTAATGTCCTCCCTACCCCCCCCCCCCCCCCGCACTATTATTTAAAATACTTGCTATTCTTTGAAAAGGTTTTGTCTAGTGGGGATGAACATTAAGGGAGGACATGCAGAATGCAGACGGAGAGCTAGAAAATTCAGCATTATCTCTTTGCAGTCCTAGAAAAAGTCTCATGTTGGCTGCCCTGTTTCAGAATTCCCATCTCTAAAGTAGGACAATTCTCTTTACCACCTACTTGTGGGACAACTGCAAAGATTGATCAGAAAGTACTGTTCAACCCTTTAAAGTGAAATTACTCACAGAAAAAGAGACAGAATCATCCAGTGGCTGGAGAACTGGCCACTGACTTGCTCTATGGTGCTATATATTGGCTTCTTAGTGTATAGCTTCAGTTTATAGCATGAGCTAAATGATCAGAAAAATGGAAGGTTTAGCTCTCCTGAATTGCTCATTCCCAGCCATGCACTCCAGCTGCTCACTATGGGCCAGTCCCAGTGGTTACATGATTGCCTGCTAAGTCAACTTTCCACTACAGCAGAAAATCAATCCGGGAATAAAAACGTTGTGGGTTACAGAGATGAACTGCTTACCCGTGTAATGGGAGCTGGCCCATACGGAGGCAAAAAGAGGGAGCAGTGAAGGGAGGAGAGAAACCTCTTTTGGGTGGACACAAACTATTAATATGTCTCTGCCAGAATGTGAAATGACAGCCTTGATTTCCTCAGCAGTTCAATCAAACATAGTTTTTAAATTATTCCTATTGGTAAACCAACAGGCAATGTTACTACACAGGGGTACTGGGTCTGACGCTTGTAGCTACGTTTCAACGGTACTGCAGCAATAAGCAGCTGCCTGCAACAAGGTGACACCTGCAACCTGAAGGTACCCAACTCAGCCAGAGCTGTTTCGAACATGTGGCAAGCAGCCTATCAGTGACTGTGGCATCTGTGGTCTCATCCTTTTTCTGAGATGCTGGGCTCAGTGCTCATGACAGCCTGAGAAGGGGTATTTGCTTGAATATTAGCAGTGAAGCAGGGGTAGGTGTCAACCTGTTCCTTTTTGCCTTCTGCTCTCAAAGGCTGCTAGCCCAGGCCCCAGTTACAGCCACGTTAGGAAAGTACAGCACCAAATAATAATAATAACTTGGACTCTGAGCAGGAAAAAATAATTTTGGCTCAGTGTTCTGCACTAAAGAAACAATACTTCTTCCGCTTGTGGGGCTAGCCAAACAGATGACAGCTGGAAGACCTCTCTGCAGCTCACTGTCATGCGTTGTAGCCATGCGTCCAACCAGGGCCCTGGGTACCAATGTGCCTACTGAATCCAGCTGTCCTGGGCCCCTCTGTGCTCTGCCAGCCTTTGGCTGTGTGCTGCTGTCCCCATCCAAAACATTTCAAAAGGATGGTGAAGGAATGGCAGAGCGTGACCAGGCTACCCAGCATAGAATTCGTCTGTTATTTAAAAAATAGCTACTGAAGGATTAATCAATAAACACCATGTATATCCCCAAAGGGCTAATTAAAAAGTAATGCCAGCAAATGGTAGGAAATTTCAGACTGTAAAGTTCAAACAGCTGTTAGGCTAAATCTTTTGTGTGAGGTCACTTTGAACTGTGCAATAAATGCAAGCAATTAACCTCTCCTTCTGCTACTTTAAAAAGATTATGGTGACAATGTTACAGCACCGTGTTTGCAGCAGGGCGAATGCTCAGCAAACAAACCCCTCCTCCCCACTGGCACTGCTGCATATTCTGAGCAATTAAGGGTCACTTTTATACCATTTTTTGGCGATCTGCTTAAAAAAAGATGCTGTTTAGAAATACCTACGTTTTCAGTTCCATGTGGAGAAAATGTTTAAGCGAGTTAATATTTTAGTGTCAAAATCCAACTGAATGGAATAAAGTGCTGTCGCATTCAGCAATTCCTTCACTTGTGCTGCAGTCTTGTGCTGCAAATGGGTATGCATGCACTTAACCTCTCATAGCAGTAGTATCCTTGGAGCTAATTGAATTATTCACAGGCATAAAGTCGAGAGTCTAAGTAACTCTGCACAGGATCAGGACCAAAATCAGTCAGCTCCAACAGAATAATTTTTACTTAGAAATATTTAAAGTAGGTACACCTAGCAAGCCAGTATGCCTAGCAAGCGGAGCACAAGGTAGCGCACCATGCCCTTTTTCATCCTAGTCCAGGTCTTGTTCTGCAGTGGCGGTACTCTTTAAGGGAGATCCTTTTGCAGGCGTGCTTGGCAACCCTATGTGCCACAGAGCTACGAGCAGTGTGGAAGTCTGCTAACTGAGAATTGAAAGGTAGTAAGCACCCAAGCATAGGGAATTACATGTAGAAATACTGGCTTGAATCTCTCTGTGTGCCAACTATAAAACAAGAATCTAGGTAATCTAACTTTATCTACCTATCTATCTTCCTCACAGAGCTATGGAGAACTGAACAGCTTCTGTCTGCACAGTTCATTGAAAATAAGAACTGCTTCATGAAAGCTGATCATTATTACTTTATATCTAGTTTACGAGTAAAGTTTAAGCACACATAAATGAAGTCACAGTAGGTATTTAGTTATTTTGTTCAACTGTTAGCCAGAAAATATCCGCCTAAAACAGATCTTTAGGAAGAGGTGGGAAGGCCATACTTCAGTGGAGAAAAGGTCATTACCTTTATTGCACTTGCTTGGAAAACTAAATTGTGGCAGAAATAGAGGGAGAAGTCATGTTACAAAACAAGAACAAACCTTATGGACATTTAGTATTAATTATACCATCCTTGAAAGGAAAGTCCACTGACTAAATATTCATAGTTATTGTCTATTGGCATAACTAAATGTTTCTAATTTACTTCAATCTAATTTCTAGTGTACCTAAAGAAATACAGGCAAGTTCTACTCAGATATCTATTCAACTAAGAGTAGTCCCAACACATTCATGATTTAGAAAGGAAGGGAGCAGTGGAAATGATTTCATGGCCAAAACAATTCTTTTGCCTGACATGAGCTAGCACAGTATGCCCCCGGCAACTTAAAAAAAAAAAAAAAAGGCAGTGTGACAGAAGCAGAGGGCTTTTCCAGCTGGGCCTACTAATGTGTCACATGCAGTTCCTTGACTGCTATTCTGTGTTTAGGTAGTTTTTCTGGTGCTTTTTTTTCTCCTCCCTAAAGCACAGACTTGACTCACATGTGCCCACAATTTATTTGTGTTCAAAGTTAACATTGGTATGCCTACATGGCACTGTATAGGAACCATATGGATGCACTTTCAGCACTAATCAAATGTGAAAGTACTTTTGTGCTGCAAAATAGGCCTATTAGATGATTTCAGCTCAGTTGTGATTCATTATATATTGGCTATCAGGCATTGCCAGAATTCTGGATATTTTATTTTGGAAAATAAATTCCTTGTGGCTGTACATATTTTTCAGATCAATGATCTCTTTAGCAGCCAGAAAATTCAGCTTGGCCTTTATTCTCAGTAAAATTTTAAACAAAACCATTTTTACAATCATCCCACCCTCAGGAAAAAAAAAAAAAGTTAATGTTACTGCTTTTCACTTTTACATTGACATCAACCTTGGACCTGAACCATTTTACTTAAAATAAAAAATTGCTTTTATGGTAAAAGTGGATTATATTGGCAGTTTGATTTACCTTGGAGCCGAAGTACCACCTTAATCTGAGAAAAGTTCTATGAGAAAAGGTATTTAATGAGAGCAGAGAACATGAGTTAGCTTAAAAACTGCTTGATCTCACAGGTGCATGATAAAATTAAGTTTTAATTGATTAGCTGGGTTTAAGTACTGTAGCACAGGTGAATATCCTTTATTTAGTGGCCGTATCATATAATGCTATAGCAGTTTTCAAAACTGCCGCTAAACAACAGCCAGCTAGGAAGTGGAGCAGTGCTCTTGCTCCTACCGCCTCCTTGTTTTCAGTTCTCTGAAAAAGAAAGGTTTGCCAAAGGGCATTTATGTTTCGGAGGCGTAATTATTCTATCCATTTCTCAGAATTTATCCAGAGAACAGAAGCGTATCAGCTTACCAGTATTTTCAGTTGAACCTATCCCTTTTTAATACCCATAGTATCACCACCACTACTCTTATCAATAAACTCCCAGCCAAGATAAACTCATAGGAATCAGTCAATTGACTAATGAATATCTGTGAGAAAATTGCAACTTCTTTAGACCAAGTATTTCCATGCTTTTGCACAGATGGGCTTGTGTCAATCTATCTTCAGCATTTCTTATGGATCACCTGGTCACTAAGCTTTTAACTGAAAACACTGCGCAAGTTAAGTATTTCTTAAGACTGTTTTCTACTGCCTTGTAGATCAGTATAAGGCTGTAGATCGTACTGTAGGAAATGTTGGTATAGAGAGGGAAAGGGGAAAGAAAAAAAGACTACATTTATCCAGTAAATTATGCACTATAAATTACTTGGCCAGCCACATTAACTATAGATTACTGTGAGTTTGTGCTGTGGGCCACCACATTATGATTTGTTCTCTAAAAAAGAGAGTGTTAAATGCCTCTGATTTTACTGATGATTAAAGTGGAATAAACTGAAGTTAAACTCATCAAAATCAGGGGGTTACTCTGAATCTGCAATGCGCTAAGTAAGTAGAAATTTGTCCCTCCTTGCTGCATCTCTGCACCTACATTTTCTTACTGATATCTCTGAAGCACTAAGACTTAGAATAGTCCTTAGTCTGAGTATGTAAGGCTTAATCTGTGACACAGGTCCAAAAATTATGTCCGGAAGCTGAAAAGATGACCAGTGGAGGCAGAGCCTATGGGACCCAGGTTTTATGGTCAGCCTTACAGGAGCTCTTAACCGGGAGATGGGTTGATTCAACTACTTTTACAGCAAAGTCTCTTAAATTTCTACTGCTTCCTTGAATGATTAGCATTTGTAAAAATTAAGAGACAGAGAGAGAGGAAAGGAGAAACAGGATAGTTAATAATGTTTTTTGGAAAGAAAGATTTTTTGAAAGAAAGATTTTGGAAAGAAAGGAAGTATCACCTCCCTCTGCCTGCTGGCAACGCTCTCCCTTATGCAGCCCCAGAGACTTCTTTCTGCAAGGGCCCATTGCTGACTTTTCGTTAAGCTGGTGTCCACTGGGACCCCCAGGAGTTTCTCTGCAAGCTGCTCTCCAGCCAGTCCTGCTGGTCGAGGTCTCTGTGAATGGCAGCACAGCCCTCTGGTGTGTCAGCTGCTCCTGCCAGTTTTGTATCATCTGCAGACTTGCTGAGGATGTGCTCTGCCTCATCACCCAGGTCATTAATGAAGACATTAAACAGCATTAGCCCCAGTATCCACCCCCAAAGACAGCATTGTCTCTCATTGTTTTCCATCACCTTCGTGGCAATAGACCTAACCCTAAGGCTGATTTCTGAAAAGCCTGTGACAAACACTGCCACTGGCCAGTGTATGTATGTGTGACAATAAAAATAAACTCATATTTATTTTGTTGTTTATATTTCTTAACAGATAGTTTTATGCAGGCAGATAGAATGAGGCTGCCTGCTTGCAGCCCCCTGTTTCCCAGCAAAAATCTTGCTTCAATAATCCCCAGCAGCCACCACTATAACGAGTCCCTTTTTATGCAAATAGATTCAATAGTATATATTTCTGTTGGTCTCCACATGATTCACGCTCTGCCTTTTTCATTTTGGTAGAGCCATTAGCAGAAAATATGGGAGCAAGAAAAGACCAACTCCCTTTCCTCAATCCTGGTGCTTAGCAGGAGGAGTCAGCCTGCAGCAGCTCAGCGGACACTAACACGGAAGGGAAATGAAACACAAACAAATCGAGGCAGAAAACGTTTTGTCGCTGATTAAAGGAGAGGATGGTCCCTACACAAGTGGATTGCTGCCACTGACAGTGCTCCAAATCGATACCCTCTAAGCTTGTGTGGAATTAATTAGGTAAAACCCCTAGCATTTACCTTGTGCTGTGCTATCACCTAGAGGAGACTTGGCATGAATTAGCACTGGATTATCATAGGAACTTGAGCTGCAAAATGATCTGTCTAGTGAGAGCCTGCCAAGTAATTCACAGCAGGTGGCAAACAAAGTGGCATTTTGGTAATTTTAATAAGGTTTTGGGGAAAAAGAAGTTAGCTTGAAGTTAGCGTATTTAAGAGGCAGAACGATGACCTGAACGACATTTCATGGACTTCCTTTTAAATGACTGGGATATGAGGCCACACTGTGAAAAATGATGTTTTCTTGCTGCTTATATAATTTAGAAAGAGAGGGTTTGACATTTTATGCTAAGATAGTAAGAAGTAAGATTGCACTGGAAAAAGGTTTGGTTCAGAGCGTCAGGGAAAGGGTTGCTGTAACCTCTGAGCAAGGATGAGTGCATTGCATGTGCAGAGGCTGGGAAAAATGCCACCAGATGTCTCTGCAGCCTAAAAAATGCAGGGAGGCCGCTGAGCACAGAAGCAACGCAGAGGACTGCCTTTGCTCCTCATTAAAGAGGAGATTTAGTGGAAGTAAGAGCATATAAACCCACAATCAAACCCATGAACTGTTCTTCCTCCCCTGGTGCAAAGGTTTGAGACCCCCCCATCCAGATCACTAATGTCTCCCTAGGTGAAGGAGCCAGGTGAGGCCACAAAGTCAACTTTTTCTTCTATTTTGGGGAAAGGCGTGTGGTTCATACAGCCTTACGAGCAACGCTTTAGCCTACACAGAGCGTGAGCTCTTCTGACCTGCTTGTCTCCAGGGGTGCTCTCACACTACTTGGCAGGCCTATAATTATGCTTAAACTGAGCACCTCAAAAAAACTGGAGGAAATAATCTATCCTATCTATCAGCAGCCTCTTAAAGTAGGGAAGTTAAGCCCATTAAGCAAAAATCTCCCTGGAAAAATGTATATGGCTGGGCATAGGTTACATGGACTTAGCTTATTTCCCCCTTATACTGAGAGCAGAGCTTGCAATTGCATAAGCAAAGTGTTTTCCAAGTCCCAGGTCTCTGTCACAAGATAAATACATGGTTTACCCAACAAAGCAATTATTTGTTCTTCCAGTAGGATTTTTAAAAGCCTAATTTTCCTGGGGTAGATCAGGCCTCCTATCTGCATTTTAGGGCAAAGTGAAGTTCACTTTATTGCCCTGTGGACAGTTTTGTGAGCAAGAGGGTGGCAAAGGAAGGGAGCATGGCAAAAATTAGATCCAAGGGAGGTCAGCTCTGTCGACTTAACTGCTGTTGACCCATCTGTAACCAGATCTGACTCTAGCCTGTATATTACAGTTCCTCCGACTACCTCTCTGATAATGTGCAGGGCCTTAAAATATCTGTTCTTTGTAGCAAAGTGAAGTCCCTACAGCCTGAAAACCACCATAGATCTTGCTTGTCTCTGGGTTGCTTGGGTTGAGTATAATAGGAAAGAGAAGCTGGGGTGAAGAGGAATTAAGAGGAAGTAGGTACTTTCTTCCCTGTTGCTGGGTAAAGTGTGGAAAGCCCCAGGGAACTACTGCTCCATGTTTCAGTTGATGCACTAAAAAAAGGCTTTCTGAGAAAAGATCTTTATAACAATGAAAATCCTATGTCTCAGTCCAATTCCCTCACTCCCGAAAGGTTCCCCAGCTTGCAGCTTATTTTACACCACTTTGGGACTGCAAAAGTTAAAAAGTGTGAAAGGGCATCAGGCCCATATTTCTCTCTCTGGATTCCTCAGCATGCTTTCCTCATGCAAGCACATGAAAGCGAAACCAGATCCTCCTGCCTTAACGAGAGAATTATATTAATTTTAATAACTTACAGTGTAACTGTTATACCCTGATGCAGTAGCTATACAGATACAAAATAAGCACCAACATGAAGTCCAAAAATGTGTCTATTAACAAGAAAAAAAATAATAAAAGCCCTGGCTTGCATTAGTTATAGGTTTGGCTGAAAAGCTGAGCCTTGGACTGTACGAGCTAGCTCTGGCTCTGCTGGTCTGCAGATAGACTGAATTCATTGCTCAGGAAACCTTCACGGAAGGCAGGCTGCCTTCAATCCCAGCAAGCGACACTGATGAATAAGAACGGACATGGGCTAATTTAGACTTTTCTACCATCTTTCAAATCAAGTTAGTGATGCAGTTCTTCTTTGTGGTTCCTAGCCAATTGTCATTTCCAGTGCATCCTACTGCCCCACACTGCAAACTGTTCTGGGAATACACTTCATTCCTCCAGCAGCCGCTCAGCGATGCCAAGGAATGTAGCTGTTCTGGTTACAATTAAGAAATTCAACATAAAAATGCTCCCAAAGTGCACCAAAACCTGCTTGTGACCTTCATGCAACAGAATCTGAAGGAATCGAAGCAATTTTTGTTCTTTGGTTCAAAAAAGAGTCAGAGAGAGGCACAAAAATACCCATTCCTCAAGAGGTGTGCTGTGATTTGAGGAGCCATTTTCACAGAAACTGACACGGGGAAGTGTAAATTCCCGGGCTGTGTTCCTGCAAGGACCTCTGGGCTACAGGGTGGCTGGAAGGATGTCAACCTGCGTGGCCAGAACTGACGCGTTTCAGCGCGTGTGCAGGAGTGGGCCGGTTTAGTTCCCACCATGGCATCACAGAAATCCTGTGGGCAGGGGACGGGGAGGCCGTGGTGGAGCTTCCCCACTCCCTGCCACCCTTGCTGGGGAAAGCCAGTCCCTGGAGCCACCACCAAACAGTGAAAGAGGCTGCCTCCTTCTCCCTCAGCTCCCGCCCTGGGCACCGTCTCTCTCTGATGTCTTTTGGGGCCTCTATTTAGACACTTTGAGAGCAAGCTCCTCCACTTCGTATCTTTACCAGATACCACTTTGTATCTCAATGTCCAGATGAGGTTAATTAAGAAGCCACACAGAATAATTCTGTGTGTGCATGCATGCACTCTTAAACATAGCATATATTTAAACAAAAAAGCAAATATATTTTGGCTGTGTGCATGAAAGCACTAGAAGCTTTCAAAGCCCCCCTGCCTTTTTTAGCCTCAAGCTGGATTTAAAAGTCTTTCCCCTAAAACTCAGGAGGACATCGTGGCTCAAGATAAGAAATATATTTGTATTTTCCAGATGGCCGGACACGGTGAAGGAAAAGCATGGAAAGTCCTGGATGTGGACTCTCACTATCTAGAAGAACTTGGTGGGTCCCTGGAGCTCTCCAACGACACTCTCTTTTCCCTGAGGATCAAAAATGCTACCAGCCACAACAGTGGGATATATAAGTGCACTTTGTGGGAACCAAGCGGAGAACGCAATCTAAGTGGCACAGTCACACTGAAAGTATCAGGTACAGTAGAGACTCTCAGCTCTTCTGTGCTCTGCATGGCATTTTGGGAAGAAAACAATTTTGAAAATGTTTTACAAACACCAGAACAGTGTAACACCTTCCTCTGTGTTTTAGGTTGCCCTGGAATACCAGAAGATGAAAAATGGAAAAAATACAAAGCAGAACTTTTCATGCTGACTTGCCTTGGGATTTTTTACTTACTGCTCATCTTTTTTACCTGTGTAAGTAATTCCCTTTCTCATAAACAAACAAACCAACAACGAAAAGCTCTTATTTTCTCTGCTAGCACCACCTTAACAAAGCCAGTCAGAAGTTAGTTTTCATATTTAATTTATGACCAAATCATTTAAATTCCCACACTGTATTTTCAATGCCAGAAGAAAGCTCAGGCACACAAGGAACACAGGATGGAGATAAAGATAAATTTCTCCCAAAGAGATAAAACATTTCGCTATACCCTGATCTAACTGAGAGCAGACAGTCAATTTGGTGCACCCTGCTGCTCATTTCTGCTTCCACTTACTCCAAGTGCAAATTCAGTTTAAGAGCATAGCAGCAGCTCTTCTGGTTTGATTCCTGGGCAGAATTTGTCCAAGACAGAGATACTGGCCTCTGGGATCGCTGCCTCACTATGACGTTGCTTTGTGTGACAGTACAATGGACAAATTCAAGTCCATCTATTTTATGCCTCTGTTTCGTAACCTGTAAAATGGTGACAACCCCACTTCAGATGGACTCTTTTGCAACATTTGGTGTTTGTTGTTAAACAGATAGATATGTTAAGATGTTTGGAAGAGAATCCATCTGCAACTGAAAAGTAACATTATAAGCAAAGGCAATGATAATGGTTTGGCAAGGCCTGTTACCCCTTTCTTTGGGTTGACTTTGCAAGTGGAGTGAACAGAAAAGAACAGGCATTAAGAACATCACAGGAATACAGTGCAGTATCAGTACCAGTCTCTTCTTATTGGCGTTTTGTCTGCATGCTTAATTCTGCCTGGTAGTTCTGGGAAAGATGGGGAGAGGAGGTATCTGAGAAGCTTTGTTGGCAGAAGGGGAACTGTGCTTTGTACGCAATATTAGTGAAGTCACCCGCTCACGCAGGAAAATGAGGAGGCCTGTAGTTCATGCCTTGAGTTTCAATACAGTGCAATACCAGCTGTATTTCCAAGCAGTTGTTTTGTTCCTTCCTTCGCGTTCCTTTGGGATTGCTACGAGATACAGTTATAGGTAGGCTTTATTAAAAACAAAACAAAAACAACCTCAGAGTTTTGAGTGGTCATTTTTATCTTTTGCTGCCTACATTGTATTGGCCTTATTGTTTTGATCATCGGCACATGAATCTTTACTGTTGTTTGGAGAATATCTAATCAGCTGCAGCTAAATGTAGCTTTTCATGCATCTTCAGGGAGCAATTAAATTTATGCCTGTCTCTTTTCTAGATTGACAAGCCTGCCAGTAATTTGTGCTGTTCAGACTAAAGTTTGACATGATAAATCTTGTAGGAATTTGTTAGGATGAAAGTATGAAAGCCAGCATATCAGTCAAAAAAGACAGATACCCCTATTCTGCTCAGTGTCCTGAAAGAATTTCAGATCTCTAAAGAAACCTCTCCTTCCTATACACATAAAAAAGGTCCACTTTTAGTTATGTAATTAAAAAAAGCTAAACCATATGCTGTAGATAACCATTTTAATGGAATTACATGTACCTTACTCCTGTGTGAGAGTCTGGTCTCTGATATCAACTTAGCTTTCAGCAAAATTCAATATTGCCCTGATCTTACAAAGGAACTTTTTTATTTAACATGTTTGTTAAGTTCTTACAAGTCTCCTTGTCCTTTCTGTGCCTAATCCGCACTGAACTCAACAGTGACATTAAGTATAAGACCGGTGACAGGACTGAGGCTTTATTTTGACAACTTGATGAAAATGTTTCAGACACTGGCCTGTATCGAAGGCAGGTAGAAGCATAATTGCCACAGGTTGATGCAAGGCCTATTTATATGAAAACTTGATTTAAATATAAGTTTCATTTTGTGGCTAAGTTTTTTATCCTGTAAAGTTCCTGTAGTTGAGCAAGAAACAGCAGCTTTTCCATTCATTTTTCACTGGAAGCACCCAGTAAAGGAAAAGGTGTTGTAATGAACCATGTCTAGCAAAGAGAAAAATCAAAACTCTATAATTTTTAAAGCCTGCCTTTCAAAGCATCTCTCAATTTTAAGCCTTCCTTTCTGTTTTCTTCCAGACATGTCTAAGAAAAGATAGTATGTCTCCCAACTATCATAAAACCAGAAAAGATATGAAACACATGCTTGTCCTCATCAGTGCACATGAAATGACAACTTTCCAGGATTTAAGCAGTGACAGCATGCACGAAAATCAACTTCCTTCAAGTTCTGTCTAAGTTGAGGTTGTTGACGGCACTATGGGCTCATCAGTAAACATGACACAAGATGGATAGCTGAGTGGTATGGAGAGGAAATAAACGCTAATATATTGCCTCTTCAGGACAGTCTGATAGTATGGGCAATCTGTCAGCGGTCTGCTTGCACTGGACAAGTCTTCAAAAAGGATTGTTAAGCACTACAGTAACTGTCGGGTGTGCGGTGGCTAACATGCACCATTGCAGCTATACTTCTGTGTTACAGTGCTATTATGAAGCTGAAATAAACTTCATTTCACTCTTCTTGTTCTGAACAAGACTGACTACTCCTGTGATATGAAGACGAGGCTATAGGGAGGCCATGGCAGCATAAAGCCGGTGGATTAAGCTCTTTGCTGAACTAACAGCTCTCATCTTTCCAAAAAAAGAAAAAAAAATCAAGCACAACAGTTGCTGCAGTCAGAAATTTTTAGCAAGCTAAGCATGCAGGGCTCTCCCTGCTCTGCTCTCTGAGCTCTCATTCCAGATCGAGTGCCTTTACTGCAAATGAGACGTAACTCGTAACACAATGTTAGCTTATCACGAAGAAGTAACTGCATATAGTTGTCCTGGATGAATCAAATCAACTTTTTTAAATCTCAGAGTGACAGGCTGAAATGTAAGGAAGGAGAAAATATTCTGGAAATCCTTCTGGCCCGAATGGAACTTTTCATCCCTTTGGGAGAGGTAACGATGGATTTATACAATGATCCATCAGCTATTTCCAAAGGCATCTCTAGCCGGGTCCTTCCAAAGGGAACTGCAACAAGACTGTTAACTTTAAACCAACAACAACAACAAAAAAGGCTGAATCAGCACGTGATATTAAGGATATGCAAAGACAAATTATTTTGTGTTTTATAAACCATAAAACGAAATGTATGCAATGCCTATGTCAGTGGAGTTACACTAGTGATGACCAAGGTCATGGCTCGGAAGAAGTCAGCCATCTGTATCTTTGGAATATATTGAGTCAGCAGTGAGATACAGCAACAGAATATGGGGCAAATGCACATCTGCTCTTGGTGTTGACAGTGCACAGTATATGTGAAATGAGGATATGAGAAAAAGCCAAGCTCAGGCACATAGTACTACAGACAGGAGACTCGTGCTCTTGGACCAACGACAGCAAGAGTCTGGAGGCTAAGAATCAAGGCACCTCCCTTGTCAGGGTGCCAGTGCAGAAGCTGAAGCAAGAGAAGTCTAGAGTAATTGTAGATGTTTATGCTGAGGATGGAGCCGCAGCGTGAGAGTATGCAATCACCTAAGAGCACAGCCAATGACCTCTACAAAAAAAGTGAAATGAAATCCTTCAAACGCTAAACTGAGCTATTTGGTTTTCATTGCAATCTGGAACTCTAGGCTATGTGAAGGAGGCTCTGTCTGAAATCTTTTGACTAATTTTGAAGCATTGACAGGAGAAAAGCACCATGAGTCACTCAGCAGCACCCCTGTGAGCGGAGTGGATGTTTACACTGATAGACTTCCAAGGGGCTCCTGTCCAGAAGAATGGTTACATGAGATATGTAATTTATTCAGGGCACGGTAAATTAATGCCACATTTGCTTTTTTAATAATCAATTTTACATATAATGCATGTAACATACTTGAAATAAGAATTCAGAGGTAACCCGCCACTAATTTTTCCTGTGTGCCACATATGGCAAAATAAAATTAGAAAAACTCCATATCAATTCTGGTTTATTTTACAGCTAATCAAACTGCACTGAATGATGTGAAAGCCTGATCAAGTCTTTTCTGTGGGAGAGCTTGTGTATGTGTGCATACTTGATTAAGGAATGGATGATTTTGTCCGTTTCTAAAGAATTAAGATCATTTAAATTTTCCTCAAATTTTTATTTTTTTACCCTCAAAATACAGTTTAAGGCACCTGTTCCATACTGACAGGCAAGTTAAGGAAAACACAGATGTGTTTCAGTCTCCCTGTACTCACTTATAAACATGGTGCATCATCATGAATGACTTGCATGTTTAGCTGGCAATAACATGAACTAAACGTGCATGTGTAGTAGCCATATAACCGACCTGGGGTACTTTGAGTGTACATATGGCCAGAAGATAGTAAGAGCTGACACTCACAGGATGAAGGGAGGAAGGGAAAATTCATTTGAAAGAGACTGATAATTAATCAGTAACAAGGGCTGAAACATGTTCTGAATTATTTCTTCAGATGTATAAATAAGATCAGATCACGTGGGACAGGATGAAAAAACAGACTCTGTGTAAACAGCTATGCCCATTTTTTCCTGATCCAAACTGTCTGCAATACAGAAAATTGGGCCTGAGGCAACAACACTGGGAGTCAAATTTCAAGCTCAGAAGTTTCAGCCTAGTTGATTCTGGAGCTTGTTTTAGGCCCGGCTGTGCTGTAGAAGTGATTATGTTCAAGGCCACTTAAATACATTCAGGAATTTAGCAGTAATAAGCAGTAAGAAAGTCTTAGGCTGAAACACTTGACCGAATCACAGAGCTGGTAAGCAACAGGCAACTTCATAAAGCAATGAAGGTACATACATATCTAGGATTTAAAGAATGTAAATAAACTACCACGGTATCATAGGACAGTAATTAATATTAGCTAAAAATATTGCAAATGAAAACTAAACAACTGAAGGATAAGGCCTACTATGTCAGAGGGACTTCAGCACTGACAAAAGAAAAAAAAAAAAGAAAAAGTCTCAGCTGAAAATCCTACAGAATAAGGTAGATGTTTTTCTGTATAATATCTCAGAAGAGATGGTGATCCTTTTTTTTTTTCCCAGATAAGGACCTGTAGATCTAAATAGCCTATTTTAAAATTACTGCCCCAGCTAACCCAGCATACACATGGTAGAGCACATACACATGTCTTAAGAATGCAGCACTTCAGTATTGAAGGGAGTATGCCCATATATCGCACAATCTAGAGGCTGCTTTGATTATACAGAATAATTGCTTTGTTGGACAGACAATTTTTTCTTCTCTACCACTCTTCCTAATATTGATTCCTTTAGTTTTGCAAGCTAATATAATAGCATATGTATATGCTACAACTGTACTTTATAATGCTTTCTCCCGGAACATCTTGAAGTGCTTTACAATCAGGAATGCAGTTACTCTCAACGATCCCATGAGGTGGGAAATACCATAATCCTTATTTTCCATATAAAAGCTAAGACACCCAGAAATCAGGAAGCCCTCTGAAGAAGACTGGGTCAGAACCAGGATGAGATCCAAGATTTCCTGACTTTCCTATATATGCCTTAACCACAGAAACTTTTTTGTTACTTTTGTAACTTTGTTAACATTTTTTCCCATAACCTGCATTTGTCCATTTTTTGTTCAAAGGTGAACCATCTTCATTCAAAGATAACAATAAATACATAAAATTACATATACAGATCGTACACATTTGATTAAATGTGAGAACACAGAGAAACAGTGTACCACAGGGGGAGATTACCTCACAGAGAAATTACAGCAGTCGTACACTGCAGCTAAATGAATATCCAAAATGGCAATGAGGGAAAGCTAAAAGACATAATCCATGAAATGCTGAGTGCATGAATTATAGCCCTTAGCTAAGCCTGATTTGTGCGACTAGCACTTACCCAGCAGATAACCCAGGCTGACGGTGACCTTGACAGCATTGCAACAGTAATATCTTGTGCAAAGCCTGAACAGTTCTCAACCTACTTCTCCCCTCCCCAGTAAGAGCCACAAGCACGCTTGTATTCAAAAACACGGACCAAAGTAATCCTTGGTATGTGCTTGTGAAGGATACAGAGAATATGACTCTCTTCCTATGTGCAAATTGCCTCCTTTCCTTCTTTCTCCTGCCTTTGATAATACAAGATTATTTTGGAGAACGTAAGGAACATTTCTCCGGTGAACGGGTTCCCTTACTCTCCCCTCTGAGCGCAAGGAGAGCAGCGATGCCGTACAGACGGGATCCTGTTCCAAGTCCACTGAGCAACTATTTAGTCACCTTCTCAACAAAGAAGTCTGCCCTTTGGGAACCAAAACTGATTTTCCTCATCTCAGCATGTGAAGACAACAATTCGACATATGTTACACATACTGTCAGCAGCTACATATTTAGAGGTAAATTGGAAATACTTCCCCATACCTTCTTTTTAAGTAAATACCATGAAAACTGTACTCTTGATCATTTGTGGAACAGACTGCTGGGGAAGATTAAAGAGTTACAAATAAACGCAATATCAACTTTTTTGGTTTACGATCTGTTCCTGCTTTACTTGGCTGCCAAGACCTGTGTTTGCACTTCTCTGCTTTTTGCTGACTGCAGTTGATATT